TTGAACTGTTGTTAGAAGCTTGTTAGTGTATCTATGGTTATCAAGCTTGCTGATATGATACTGGATGTGTACATTTAACATGATCTTTCACTTATATGGATTCTGAGAATAATTAGATAATTGAGTATACTACTCTGTTATCAATTGCTGGACTGTGGTAGTGTAGGGGAAAATTAGCTTATTAAAATACTCAACTCTAATATGCTAATTCTGGAACAGTTGAGGAGTAAATTTAATATTTTTATTCTCAATGGTTGAATTTATGGATTGGATGATATTTACATGCATGATCTGTATTATCGTTTGCTGAATGGATAGATGGTATGTACCGGTATGGGACGGTGACATACTAGGGGGATTAGTTCGAAATTGCTAAGTCCTACCTACTCTGGGATTAAGGAAAGGGATTGACTAAAAGTTAAATCCTATGGATTTGTAGTGTCAAGGCAACATATAGTTGAGCGGCACTACTACGGATTCTGGATGGATTTTATATATATTGTTATGGTACTTCGATATGAGCTTGAGTCTCAGGATTGACGGTTAGGGAGCGTATATGCATTGGGATGCATAGCTGGATACGACGGTTAGAGGTGTACCCTATTTAGGTTTAGGTACACATGCCCACTTTGTGTGTGTTTTAGCATGTTGCCTCTATTCAGGTTGAGACCGGCCTGTAGTCCAATGAGAGTCCTTTAGTGTGACTATATATATATTTACGGACTATTAGCTATTTTTGAATTGGTTAGGATGTACATGCGTATCGAGTCTCTACTTGGATTGTTGTAGGATAGAACTTGTTCGTGGGCCTGACCCACTTCTGTTTTTCAGGTACACGACAGTTTTAGACTTAGACGTGTTCGTGCTGAGCAGAGGTTTCTATTCACTCTACCGACTATGTAGGATTTCTCTTCGTAGCTTACTTCTGAATGTCTTTTCAGTTACTTCTTTTATTACTGTTTGGATTATTATTAGGGGTCCTCTAGAGATGGATTCCCGAGTTTTACCCTTGGAGGTTTTGGAATTTGTTTACTCAAATTTTAAGTATTTAACTATTAAGGATTGTCTTTTAGATTTCTTTCAGCTATTAAAATTTTTATTTATTTATTTATTTCATCTTGTATTCTGTGTTCGGTTATATATTAATTGATTGATATTTCCCTCGGGTTTGGGCCTGGGCCTGATCAACCCGTGTCTCAGATCCGAGGGGTATCACAACATATCCAGTGAAAGGTTAAAAAGATTAGTAAAAGATGAAATTCTTTGGAATCTAGATTTTACTGATTTTATTGTGTGTGTAGATTTCATTAAAAGTAAACAAACCAAATACACAAAGACAGGAGCCACAAAAAGTATAGAGCTTTTTGAAATTATTCATACAAACATTTGTGGACCTTTTGATGTTCCATCTTTTGGTGGAGAAAAATATTTTATCACATTTATAGATGATTTTTCACGTTATAGATATATCTATTTGTTGCTTGAAAAATCAAAAGCAGTGAATACTCTTGAAATATACACAAATGAGGTTGAAAGGCAATTAGATAAAAAAGTGAAAATAGTAAGGTCAAATAGAGGTGGTGAATATTATGGAAAGTATAATGAAACGGGTCAATGCCCTGAACCATTTGCTAAACTCCTTAAAAAGCATGACATTTGTGCTCAATACACTATGCCAGGCACGCCACAGTAGAATAGTGTAGCTGAAAGGCGTAATCTGTACTCTTATGGAAATGGTTAGGAGTATGTTAAGTAATTCCTCGTGACCCATATCATTAGAGATGTATACTCTTAGAACTGATTTGTATGTATTAAACAGGGTTCCTAGTAAGGTAATTTCAAAAACTCCATTTGAACTGTGGACAGGAAGGAAACCTAGTTTAAAACACCTGTATGTTTGGGGTTGCCCAGCAAAAGTTAGGATTTATAATCCACATGAAAAGAAATTGGATTTTAGAACAGTTAGTGGGTACTTTATTGGTTACCCAGAAAAATTCAAAGGGTACAGGTTTTACTATCCTACACATAGTACAAAAATTGTTGAAACCAGTAATGCCAGATTCATTGAGGATAATGAAATCAGTGGGAGTGATAGAAATGAGAATGTGATCATCCAAGAAGTTAGGGTACAAATCCCTATACCCACAACTTCTTGAGAAATAATTGGTTCTCCAGTTGTTGAACTGCATAACAACGAAGAACAATTCACTGATCAACAACTGCATAATGAAATTATCACTAATTAACAGGTTATAGAAAAACCACAAGGAATAATATTAAGACGGTCTTAAAAGAAAAAAAGACCTGCTATTCCAAATGATTATGTAGTATATCTACACAAATCTGATTTTGATATAGGGATATGTAAAGATCCGGTTACATATTCATAAGCCATTAACAGTAATAATTCTACTAATTGGATTAATGCAATAAATGAAGAGTTGAAGTCAATGGAACAAAATAAAGTTTGGGAACTCGTTGAATTGCCTGAAGGATTTAAACAAGTATGGTGTAAATGGGCTTTAAGACCAAACGCGACTCTAATGGCAATATTGAATGATATAAAGCCAGACTTATAGCCAAATGCTTCACTCAGAAAAGAGGCATTGATTATAAAGAAACCTTCACTCCTATATCTAAGAAGGATTCCTTTAGAATTATCATGGCGTTTGTAGTTCATTATGATTTAGAGTTGCATCAAATGGATGTGAAAATAGCTTTCCTAAATGGGAGTTTAGAAGAGGAAGTCTATATAGATCAACCTGAAGGCTTCACATTAGAAGGTAAAGAACACACGATCTGTAAACTTAAGAAGTCAATATATGGACTTAAACAAGCTTCCCAACAATGGTATATTAAGTTTAATGATACTATTACTTCTTTTGGTTTTAATGAAAATACTGTTAATCGGTGTATATACCAAAAGGTTAGTGGGAGTAAGTTTATATTTCTAATTCTATATATTGATGATATTTTGCTTGCTAGTAGTGATCTTGGTTTATTGCATGAAACTAAAAATTATCTTTCTAAGAATTTTGAGATGAAAGATATGGGTGAGACATCATTTGTGATAGGAATAGAAATATTCCGTGATAGGTTACGTGGATTGTTGAGATTGTCTCAAAAAAACATATATTGAGAGAATTCTAGAGAGATTTGGTATGAAACATTGTTCAGCTAGTATTGTTCCAATACAAAAAGGAGATAAATTTAGTTTGATCCAATGCCCAAAGAATGAATTAGAACATAAAGAAATGCAAAATATTCCTTGTGCATCTATTGTGGGAAGTTTGATATATGCACAGGTTTGCACTCGACTAGATATTAGTTTTGCAGTTGGAATGCTAGGCAGATACCAAAGCAATCTAGGAATGCATCACTGAAAAGCTGTAAAGAAAGTCATGAGATAGTTACTAGGAATGCATCATTGGAAAGCTGTAAAGAAAGTTATGAGATAGTTACAAGGAATAAAGAATTATATGCTCACATTTAGAAGGACTGGTAATTTAGAGGTTATTAGTTACTCAGACTAAAGTTTTGCTGGATGTGTGGATAGTAAAAGATCCACTTTTGGTTATTTGTTTCTTTTAGCTGGAGGGGTAATATCATGGAAAAGCACAAAACAGTCTATTATTGCTTTATCTACTACGGAGGCTAAGTTTGTAGCATACTTTGAGGTTACAAATCATGGTTTGTGGTTGCGGAACTTTATTTCGGGATTTGGTATTATGGATTCAATTTCCAAACCACTGAAAATTTATTGTGATAATACTGTAGATGTCTTCTTTACTAAAAACGATAGGTATTCCAATGGCGTTAAGCATATGGAGCTGAAATATCTTACCGTTAAAGAAGAAGTTCAGAAATAACGAGTGTCTATTGAAAATATAAGCACACAAATTATGGTTACAAATCCATTAACAAAAAGATTACCACCCAAGACATTCATAAGGCATGTTAAAAGAATGGGTCTTAAATGTAATCAAAGTTAATTATTATTTTTGTTGTGGATTATTTAACAAAGCTTATATATATTTGACATTTTGAGCTCATTCAAAATGTATTTCTGATATTTTTTGTTAACTTTATGTATGTACATACATGTATTGCTTTAAATGATGAAAACATGAATAGTCTTAGAAAAGACATTATTGTTAGACCTTTATTGATGCTTCTCACTTATAGACTATATTAAATGGGTTACTGGTGTTGTGGTACATGGAAGAGACTGTGTCATTTAGTGACATACAACCGCCATGACTCACATTGGTAGTTTGTTTACCATAGTATTTATGATACCAACTAAATAATTTAATCTGATTTATGTTGCACAGTACTAATGACTATTTTACTAAATCACTACAGAAGTTATCATATGTGCCAAGTGGGAGAATGTAAGATTATTTATTTAATTGTGGCCCACATGATTTGGACATGTAACATATTACTTGGTGGCTAAATAAATAGATATTAATTATTTATTATTTACTTTTGGTCAACTTATAATTACCTTTTTGGTAATTACTTATTTGGGAAGTGTTTTCCTTTCTTGTTCCTTACTTTAATAGAAAGTGGAATTAGGGTTACAAATAAGGAAAATCGGTCCTCTCTCTGCCTTTATAAAAGTGCATATATTCCATCATTTATGTACACGAATGAAATAACACATATAAAGTTTTATATGTACAAAAGGTTAAGAGAGAGAAACCAGTTTCCATACTTTGCCTATTAATCAGAGTTGCAGTTCGTTGTTAAAGGATCTGGACGTTGGACTTAATCTTAACAAGGTTTAACATCATGGATCGAGGTATGTATATCTATTTTTATATATTTTTGCGTTATAAGGATGTGAAATTAATTGAAGTTATAAGATTTAAGGATTTATGATTATTTGTGAATAATGTCGAACACAAATTATTTAGAGATTAATTACATCGCCTCCGTAAGAAATTATTGTTTTCTTTGCTTATTAGGAAAGGGAAGTAATTTGTCTTACCTACTCTCTTCAGCTTCTTCCTCCTTAAGAAATAGAAGAGAAGTAACAGGCCTAGGAGTACCACCGCTGCAATTAATATAGGAATGATTATAATCTTCAATCGTCCCTTTACATGGGAGCTGCTATGTGTTTCTGCACAGTCAAAATTTACCACAATGTAAAGCAACAATATTTGAAGGCAGGAAAACTATATGCCTCCTCTGTGTTGAAAAGATGGCAACTTTCTTTTATATTTCCAAACAGAATGTGAAAGCTACTCATCTACATGCTTGGGAATATATATCATACCTAATTCAGAGGATGCCATTCTTATGTAAATATCTTGTCCAATTTCTGTGAGGTCCCTAATATCAATCAAGTCATCAAACCAGAGCAAGCAGCCACTTCCTCCTGCTGTTATTTCTATATTTGCATAAGCCATACAAGAACAGTTTTTTGAGCATACCATCTCGCATTCCTGGAGGGTCATGCTCCTATTATACCAGGAATACCGCGTGTCAGGCAATTTTACACCGGAATACTTGAGAAATCCATTTGATGATCCATTATGGCAATCCAAGGGCGTTCTTCGAACACACCCACCCGACCAATCTGCTGTGTCCCAATCTTTTGGGTATCTTGGCATAAATTTATCAAGACACCTACACACCGGGGAGTTACCAATGCTGCAGGTACCATAGGCCTGACATAGCCCATACGAATCACAGTTATCTGCTGGTGCATTCGTGTAAATTGTCCAATCCTGTGTTTTGTAATTCCATGTCAAGCGCTGTAGTATTCCATTCTGATTCAAAATCCGCCGTGTGAAAACTGAGCTATTAATAAGATCATATTCATAATACAGTTCCTGCTGATCAAAAACAAATCGGTATGTGTAAATGCTGTTTGGTTTTAAACCCACCATGCCACTAAAGCGGAGACCATTCCATGGTCCAGTTCGGTAATGCTCAACCGGACCTTTCATGAGGACGTATTGTGGGAATCCACGAAGATCAAGTCCATGAGAATACTCACCTTTAGAAGGGTCATCACTGGACTTCCATGACCATATACGCCGATCAATTCCGGTTACTAGGTTCTTTCCATACTTCATGCCTGGCAACACAGTGTCACATGGATAATCAAAACTCTGCCATAGGAAATTCTCATCATTTGCAGTTTTGACAACAAGATTACCCGAATCCAAAAGCTGTGCAACTGGGTTCACTGTGTTGTTATTTGATGATGAATTTGAAGACGACCAGAAGATGCTGTTCGTACTATTGACAAGCACGAGAATTCCTCCATCAGCAAGCTTCAATACTCCTCCTCCTGAGGTATCGGTAAGTGGAGTATCTCTGTTGGCAACCCATACCACAGTCCCATCAGATATTTTCTTGTACCATATTCCCAAGTATCGATTCCTGGAAATAGTACCTGAGGGGCTGAAAAATCCCAGTTCAAATGTTCTATCTGCAGAGACCATGGTTTGCCCATCAGCAAGAGATTGAGTTATACTTATGGTGTCTAATTCTACTGCACAAGAGATTATTTTTAACATGGTAAAAATAGAATACAAGAAATGATTAATGGCAGATGATGTACTCATGTTTCTCATATGAGGTGTGTTTCTTTGTTTCTTAGTTCAGAACCCCCAGAAGATATATGTTGGGTTGGCAGATGGCAAACAAGACAAAAGTCAAATCAGAAAGGCCTCAAAGTCTTCCTTTCCTACTTTTTACGCTACTAAAATTTAAATATATAAATGTGCAATTAATTTAGTCATGTAAATTTGACCAGTTCAATTGTCAACCTAGTCATTTCGGTATTAATAATTGAGCTAGGCCTCCTTTTGTGACTCATAATTGAGCTTTCAATTGGTGGTCCGCACCCATTTGATTAAACTTTCGTTAATCCTTTCCACGTAGTGATTTGGTGTAACAAAATCCATCTACCACATAAACTACCTATCACCTACAGCATGCAATGAATTTATCACTTACCAAATAATAAATTAAACCATCTATCAACTGTTCATTTCCCTCGACTTGGAAAGATGCATCTAGAAGAAGGCGTATATGACTAGGGCTGGTGCATTCATTTCAGTATATTATCGTTTATTTGCTGTGAATATTTTATAGAAACAAAATGTAAGAAATTTTATATACAAGACAACAATAGGATAAAATAAGTTTTATTTGTCATTTTACATTGTTTTAGTGTTTTTATTTATTTTAGGACTTTAATTATAATATCATCTTTTATTTATTTGGGGTTTAAAAGATAATATTCAAGAAGTTAGAAGACTACATCCATCCTAAAAAAAACATGCTCTCGGCCTTACCGTTCGAGTTTGGCCAGATCAATCTCAGAATGTTATGATTGATCCAATTTCTCCATGATCGATCATAAGTTCCAACACTTACAAAAATTCTTTATCAAAGGCTTCAAATTGACCTTCCTCCAACAACTTTTCAAAGTGTCCTTCCTCCAACAACATTTTGGTGCTCGAGCACACATTATTATTATTATTTTTATTTTTATTTTTATAGTTAATAAGAATAATATATAGTGGTGGATTATCTTCCCTTGAGATTTTTCTCCATAACTTAATTAAATTTATTTGGTATAAATTTTATCTGATTAATTAATGACAAATATAAAAAATAAAAAAGTGTTTTAAAATCTTCGTCTGAATCTCTTAGCGAAATTTCGCTTAACTGTGTGGTTCAACCCAACTTATCACTATATATTTTTAGTTAAGTATTTGTAACCCATTCCCATTCCGTTCCATTGCCCTTATCGACCCGTTTGCTCGCCATAAATAAATAAATAAACTAATAAAAATATACACATTAATACAATTAAAAATCCGAAACCGAACAAAAAAGAAGTACAACACGAGGACTTCTCAGGGGTCACCCATCCTAATACTACTCTTACCCAAGCACACTTAACTGCGGAGTTCTGATGGGATCCGGTGTCGCCAGTCGCAAGGTTTGTCACCAAGCTGAGCCAGAATCCTCTCAGTTTCTGGCGAGCTTGTCACCGGTTGCAAATTTTGTCACCAAGTTGAGTTTGCCCACCTCTCCCTGGATAAAACAGTTGGTGGCCGTCTATGTTGATACTGGTGAGCTATTTCGGGTTAACAGAGCACTAATTACCCTCTCCCACAAATTTGAGACCAACAGGCCCCAAATTCGAATCTGTTAAAGACTCTAATTGGGTTTGTAGAAGGGCAAGCTATTTAGGGTTTCCAAGCCAAGGGATAATTATAAAGTCTTTCCTTTGACAAAAATTGGCTACCTTTCTAGACATTATAATCATTGTAAGAATGAAAAGGAAATGCATTATTAGCAGATTTGAAGGGACTAATTTATTCCTAAATTCTTTCTGAGGAGCAATTTTTACTGAAATAACTTACAAGGCCACAGGGTATTACTGTCCTACATCGTAGCTACAAATTCATAGAGTGATCAAAATACCAAAGGTTTCCAGTAAAGTTACCAATTACAAATGAAAGAAAATCAAAACAATTAAAATCAAGACAACACATAATGTAGAGAACCAAAATATTGACATGAAAGGTCTTCAAGGGGTTAAAATTGTTACAGTTAATTGATTGAGTGAACATGATTCAGGTTTGCTTGATGATGAACCTACTTTAGAATTTTTTTTTTTTTTTTTTAGTGTGTAAAACCCAGGCTCTTTGGTTGAGAAAGCAATAACGTTAAAATAAAGATTCTGATAATGTTGAACCTCTTACAAAGCATGCCTCCACCATTTATTATAGAATAATATGTAAAACAAACTTATTTCATTGACATCATAACTCTATAACAAAACTAACTATCAATTTAAATTAAAGTATCCTAGAGATAAACATTAGCATCTAATTGAAACCAATTAAAAGAATATTACTAGTACTATAATTCATATCCATTAGTTCATTCAAACGCTTCTATCTCTTCCACCTTTGCATGCAGCTTCCCCAATTTCAATCTGGGTTAATTATTACCTTGTCCACGTGTCACATTATACCCAATTAGCTACCACGTCATCAACACAAAATTTTACCAAAATATGTGGGACAAGTCTTTCTTTGCAGGGACAAGTCTCTCCTTGTAACAAGTAGATATGATTATATAACTCCTCGTGGTTAATTCTATTCATGAAAATTTCACTAGTTATATATATATGAGAATCTGAGGCCGAAAATTGTTAGTTATTAACATCTTCCCGTTTCTTATGGTGAAAAGTGTGCGAAGTTTAATCCGTGAATTTGATTCATTTGGAGTTCCAAAAACTACTAGCTTTAAAGATCCTATCAGATGGCGTAAGCCACAAATTGAGCATCTATAGACATACTCCATGGCTAATTCTTTATTGGTTTATTCATGTTTGTTTGTTTTTTAATTTAATTTTTATTTATTTATTTTTTTTTTTTTTGAAAGGTTAAGCAATGTATTAATAAATGAAAACTGTACATGGGTTTATTCATGTTTCACACGAAGGGGTGTGTGTGTTTTTCATTCAATAGTATTAATTCAGAAACCCATAGAAAAGCGAAATGAGAAAGTTGTCAAGTCTTCTCCTTTCTCACCTTTTAACCTACTTAATTATACATCCCAGAGCAGGTGGTGGTGCGTCAGCATGTGAAACGTGCAATTAATTTGGTCTAGTAAATTTGCTTAGTCAACTTCTAATACTCAATTAATCATTTTACTACCAATAATAATCAGGTTCAAAGTAAGCCAGCCAGGGCCTAGAAAAAAAAAGAACCATCCTAGAGCCAGGCCTAGGCCGCCTTGATTTTTTTAGGGACTACTACTAAAATTATTGGAGAAATTAGTCATTTAGTCATTTCACTAGCTGTGACAAATAATTAGACAAATTATTAAATAATGAATTATTGGCACCGGTGGTTGAAACCAATCAATTTTAATGTTTATATATTTTTGTAATATATGTGTGGGCTCACTTTTCTTAATCGGAATTAGACTGGACCGTCAAGCCTTACTGATCCATACCTCACCTTCACACGTGTTGGTAGTCTATTTTGTTTTATTTGAGAAGTCAAACAAAGCAAATGTTATACTATTTTCATAATTATCTTTTACATTTTAAACAATCTCAATTTAGTAATATACATTATTTAAACTTAATTTGAGAATATAAAAATAAAAAATAAAATACCCCCTTAAAAGTTAGTCGGTATTATCTTGGTTCCATATTAGTACTCCTTCCACGTTAAAAAAAAATAAAAAAAAATAAAAAAATAGTACTCATTCCATCTCATATTCGTTTTCTACTTTTGATATTATATTGCTGTTGTGTAAGTCATTTGTATTGAAAGTTGACGTGGTTCAATTGCAAATGTACAAATAGTCAATAATTACAAATTTTGGAAAGTAATAAATAAGAAAATCAGATAGTGTAATTGAATTTATTCTAAAAAAAAAAGTTATTGTCTTTATTTATCACTTTCCTAATTTTGTAATTAATAATTATTTCTATATTTATGATTGGACCACATGACCTACTATATATTTGTGATTAGATCACGTTAGCAATTAGTATGAATGATCTACTCATATAATTCTTGTCCAAAATATAATATCAAAAATAGAAAACTAATATGAGGCTGTAAGAGTAATACTTAAATACTCCACCAAAGTTTATAGGCATTTAACATTTCCCGTATCTCCTAGAGTGGAAAGTGTGCAGGGATTTAATCTGTGAATTTGATCCAATCGAGATCATGCAGTTCCGTTTGGTTTTAATTCCATTAATTCATTTAGAGTTTAAAAAAATACGTAAACTATAAAGTTGGTTGGATTCCCAAATTTGAGTAAACTAAAAATTGCCCCCCTAAATTATTGATTTGTTATAATTAAAGACCTATCACAAAAGATTATTTTACCCTTTGTTATTGAATTTGTCATTTCTTATTAAATTATTTTTTATTATATTTTCTCTTATTTAAATATTAATTATAACATTTACCTTAATTTTATAATTAGTATCAATTGATTATAAAAATAGAAAAAAATAAATAAATTTGTAGCTATCATTTTCTAAAAATGATTAACTTATTATAATAAAACTTATTATACTCACTTTAAAAAAATTTACTATAAAAAAATATCTTCTTTTTCAAACTATATTCATGAAAAAATAATAAATTACTGAAATAAAAAATATCTTCTTTTTAATGCAATGTATTCATGAAAATTAAGAAATTACTTAAATTGTTTCAAAGTTTTCTATTTAAAATTTTTATTTAAATAATTAATTTAAAAAATTAAAGGCAAACTTATGCAAATTTAATGGAGAATATTTCATCAAATTAGTATGAATTTTTTTTCATAATTTATTTTAACAAAAAAAAAATATCAAATGTAATTCAATAAGAAAGGGTATTATGGTCATTTAAT